CGATTCTTCCCCTCGGTCGCAACTTCTCAAGATGGTACGTCCCTGGCCATTGCTGTCCCTTCCCATGCAATCTCGTTCCATGCAGCTTGCCGTGAGTCCCATGGTCGCTGGAGAGCTTCTCGTACAGCCCCATCAATACTGAGCTGCGTCATCCTTCTGGCTCTACAAACCTCACACAATCATTATACAACTTCAAGTCGGCGTTTCCGCATCTCATTTTGACATAGAAGTATTGCCCAGACTTCTCTGCCTAGTACCCTGAAATCATTATTACCTCTAATAGCATATCACTTGCCCCTCATCACCCGCACTAACCCCAGTCACCCCGAATGCCGACATCATGACCTCGTTTCATCGCCGCCTCTGCTTTCGCTCTGGGCCCAATGCTGACCGTAGCAATCTGCTGCAGACTCACGACATCAACTCGCCTAACGATATGGTTATGGACACGGACGACTACATCGGCGTGGCCAATGAGCCGGAGAAGGTCGCCATCATTAACCCCGATAACCTCGAACAAAGCGAAGTCGACCAACTGCAAGATCTGCCCATGGCTAACGACCGTGCGTATTCCTTCCTCTATCTCATAAATTCTTTGCATTTGGCGCAGAACTTCTGCACCGTATTTCAGCCATGGCCATCACCCGTTCTTGGAGCTACGTGGACTAACTGTCATGCCTCTAGATGAAGCCATGAGGGAGATCTGTCTCCCCCCTCTGATCGACGAACCCAAAATCCTCGGAGACTACGAATACACATGGACTGTCGAAAACTGGCGAAGTTTGAATAAGAAGGAACATGGTCCTATTTTCCAAGCAGGTGGCTTCCCATGGTGCGACCAAGTTGATTCCGGTACTGCCGTTACTTTAATGCTGACATTCCACTTACAGGAGAATTTTGCTTTTCCCACACGGCAATAATATTGATCAGTGCTCTATCTATCTTGAACATGGCTTCGACGCTGATAGTGTTCCCGACAACTGGAGCTGCTGTGTTCAATTTGCGCTCGTCCTATGGAACCCGAACGACCCCAGTCTATACGTCCATCACACTGCCCACCATCGATTCACTAAGGAAGAAGGCGATTGGGGGTTCACTCGATTTGTTGAGCACCGCCGAATGTTTAATGTGCCTTGGGAAGGCAGCAGCCGACCCCTATGCGAAAATGACACTGCCAACATCACCGCCTATCTTCGCCTTGTTGAGGATGAGACGGGTGTTTTGTGGCACAACTTCGCTAACTACGATTCCAAGAAGGAGACGGGATACGTTGGCCTCAAGAACCAAGGTGCCACCTGCTATCTAAATTCCCTAATGCAATCACTCTACTTCACCAACAAGTTTAGAAAGGCAGGTTTCGTCATTTTACTCTCTTGTCCACTATTTGCTGACTTGTATAGGCTATCTACGAAATCCCTACAGAGACCGACCCAAGTATGACCAACAGTGTTTATACATTGCAAAGACTTTTCTACCAACTACAGACGTCAGATCAGGCAGTTGGAACCACGGAACTCACAAAATCTTTCGGCTGGGATACGCGACATATCTTCGAACAACAAGATGTCCAGGAGTTTTCACGTAAACTTATGGAGAGAATGGAAGATAAGATGAAGGGAACCGCGGCCGAGAACGTCCTTCCAGAAATGTTCAGTGGCAAGATTAAAACATACATCTCGTGTATTAACGTCGATTACGAATCTAGCCGAATCGAGGACTTCTGGGACATTCAGTTGAACGTCAGTGGTAACAAGAACCTTCTGGAGAGCTTTGAGGACTACGTCCAGGTCGAGAAGATGGACGGAGAAAACCAGTACTTTGCTGGTGATCAGTACAAGCTCCAGGACGCGAACAAAGGTGTCATTTTCAACAGTTTCCCCGACGTACTCCACCTACAGCTGAAGCGTTTCGAGTACGATATCCAGCGCGACACCATGATGAAGATCAATGACCGATACGAGTTCCCCGAGATTTTTGACGCTGCGCCGTACCTATCCGAGGATGCCGACAAATCTGTCCCATGGACGTACCAGCTTCACAGTGTCCTAGTCCACAGCGGCGACCTGAACGCAGGACATTACTATGCTTTCTTGAAGCCCGAAAAAGACGGCTGGTTCTATAAGTACGACGATGACAAGGTTACCAGGGCGACGATGCGCGAAGTGTTGGAAGAGAATTTTGGCGGAGAATATCAAACACCCAACGGTTACCCGCGCGCGCCTGTGCAAAAGAAGTCTCCCATCATGCGCCAAAACAGCGCATACATGTTGGTTTACATCCGCCAATCTCGCTTGGACGATATCCTGTGCCCGGTTACCAAAGATCATATTCCACTTCATCTCAGTAAGTTGTGTAGCATTGTTCTTTTGTCAACTTGCTTACCACTGCAGGACAAAAATTCGAGGAAGAGACTGTCCAGCGGGAGGCCCGCAAGAAAGAGCAGCGAGAGGCGCATCTGTACATGTGGGCGAAGGTGATCACTGACTACTCGTTCCAACAATACGGTGGCACAGATTTGTGTCAGTTCGATGCGAAACCTGAGGACCCCGCTGCCCCGAAGTTCTATCGTGTTCGCCGCGCAATGACTATGGAGGAGTTTGTTGCGCAAGTTGCATCAGATATGAGTGAAGATCCACGAAGAGTACGACTTTGGCTTATGGTTAATCGGCAAAATAAGACTATCCGCCCTGATCAACCAATTATGGACCTGCGGCCTACAGTCGACGAGACTTACTCCCGTTCCGCCGCCCACAGAGATACTAGTTTACGTGTGTGGGCTGAGGTTGCCGAGGAAGTCAATTCTGACGGAGAGCCAATCTGGCCATCTTACCAGAGTCAGCCCAATGGTGTTATCGTCAAGAATGACACCATCCTACTTCTCCTTAAGCACTTCGATATCGACGCCCAAACACTGCGGGGTGTAGGCCATGTCTACATCTCCAAGGAGAAGAAGGTCGAAGAATTGCTGCCAATGATCCTGAAGAAGATGGGATGGGGAGAGAAGCTACCTGCTGAGGAGAAGCTTCTCCTTTGGGAGGTAAGAAGACTACCAATCTTGGAAAACTTAAGTATCTAACTTGAAATAGGAGATCAAGCCTACAATGATAGAACCACTGAAGCCTAAGCAGTCGTTAAAGGTTGCCGAATTGCAAGACGGAGACATTATCTGCTTCCAGAGAACCAAGGTTGGAGTGGAAAAGCGCGCTAGCGATAAGGCCTCACTAGAGTCGTATGTCATTCCAGCAATAGCATGCGAGCCATTTACTGACATCCCTTCAGCAGTGCCATATCTGACCACTTTGAGGATGCGCGTGAATACTACGACTTCCTTGAGCACAGGCGGACAGTCAAGTTCCACCCACATCCCACTCGATGTGACCAGACACAATATCCCCCATTCGAGCTGGTGCTTAACTCAAAGATCACGTATGACACGCTTTCAGAGCGCGTTGGAGCTTATCTGGACGTGCAACCGACACATATCCGGTTCTGGACTGTGAATGCCTCAACACAGAACCCCAAGACACCGGTCAGACGGGGAGCGAACCCAACGTTGCGACAGATTCTCAGCCCTATGGGTTCAACTGCCCTCAACTCCACTCAAAGGAACGATGCCTTTTACTTTGAAGTACTTGAAATGAGTCTAACAGAACTCGACACCAAGAAGAGCATCAAGGTTACTTTGCTAAGTGAAGGCATCACTAAAGAGGCATGTCGACTTTCAGCATCTGCCAATTTTCTGACTAACTTTGTATGCAGGATACATATGATCTACTTGTTCCCAAAACGGGAACTATTGATGATTTAGTTGAGGTGTTGATAAAGAAGGCACAAATACCAAGCGAGGTAGAGGGTGGAAGAATTCGTATTTACGAAACTAGCTCTAACCGCTTCTACCGTGAGCCTCTACGCGAACACCCCGTTATTAACCTGAACGAGTTTACGACGATTTACGCGGAGCGAGTCCCCCAGGAGGAGCTCAACGCCGACGACAGCCATTTCATCCATGTTTTCCACTTCCACAACGACGTCAGCCGCGTTCATGGCGTTCCGTTCAAGTTCCTGGTCATTGAGGTGAGTCTATTCGTACTGAGACGTCCGCATATGATTAATAAAGGCAATAGGGGGAGAGCTTTGCAGACACCAAGAAGCGATTGGAGAAGCGAACTGGAATCAAAGGCAAGAGCTTTGAGAAGATCAAGATCGCTGTTGTGCGACGAGCTAACTACTCGAAACCACAATATCTCAATGACGGTCAGCAGTCCTTCTGGAATTTGACGTACAGAGTAACTAACAACATATTAGATGATGTGCTATCAACTTTCATACAAGGAGAAGACGATTACCTCGGCCTTGACCATGTAGATAGAACGAGGACATTGAGGAACGGCGTTGGGGACCTATTCCTTAAATAAAAGGTGCCAGGGGAGAAGGAGATCACGGTATCTCGAGAGCATATAACAAATGAGGCAACGAGGGTCGCCGATGATGCGGCAGAGACACGGCGTATTTAGCATATATACCTGCCTGCCGTATGGGACTCACAGGTGTCCAAGCATCGTACATTCGCAGTCAAGGGCATCGGCGTCGTTGTTCGACCGACGAGCACAAAGTTTTGGAAGTGAACATACGCAGGATGCATGAAATCAGTGTCTGAGCTGAAGGGACGGTTTTGCCTAGTCATGACGCTGAATGGATGGACAGGCATGCGAAATGAGGCATGGGCCAAGAAAGAAGGTTGCGGTGCGATGATTACGGCATAAATTATCATTCCTATTGTTCATTCTTTTGATATCTCAGTTGTGCATGCCCTAAGCTTTGTGAGTCTGGATCCATGAAAGGTGCTCCAAGACATCGAATGAACTCGGTTTTTACTTAATTCCTGATATAACGAATGTTACCTGATATGTGGTGACTAAGTTGTGAAGATGGCGTAGAGTGGAGCGATTAGATGCTGCTCTATATGAGTTGAAATTTTGAGGTCAGTTGCCACCAAAGAAAGCAATTTGGCGCAGTGGAAGCGCGGTATGTTTACTACTATCTGCATCACATCAACCATTACTAACAGACGCAGCCGGGCTCATAACCCGGAGGTCGCACGATCGAAACGTGCAATTGCTAAACGTTCTTTTTTGCATTTTTCGAGCCCGATATTGCTCTAAGATTTCTTTTGCTTGTATCAATTTATTTAGTGCCTTTTGGGTGATATTTCGGTGTTGCGAGAACAAAGGGCTCGACTGTCCCTCGCACTCTCCCTGCTACCTTTTGGCAACCAAGCAGTTACACTAGGTAACCATTTTATACTCAGGCCTTCACCAAGGGTCGGCATAGGTGTTCGGATGGTTGTTCTAAAACGCTTCGAGTAATGAAATATGAAAGTGACAGTTTGACCGCTAATGCTTGGTATTATTGCTTAGCTTTGTCTCAGGATCTCACGAATAGCAAACGCAAACTCCGTCCCTTCTTAATAAGAACAATACATATTCCGCACAAACACAACACTCTATTTATCTATTGCTAAAGCTTTCAATATTATATACATTGTCCCCGATATAATAGAAGAAATAGCCAGTCTTAGGATTTCTTTAACATATTATTATAAATTTAGGGAAATTTATATAAAATAAATAAACTAAACTAAAAATAATATAAATTTCCCTAAATTTATAAATATTCTAGTTAGACATGCACAAGTTGTTTATAGGAAAAGCATACACTTGGATATTTACAGTAAGGATTGCATGAGTCACAAAAATAGGAACAACAAATACTGATGTACTTACATTTACGTTTAAATCAAGGCAGACGGAAAGCTAGAAGGGGACATGGGAAAGAGAGTTCAAACCTGTAGTTTTCACATTTTCATTCTCTTTACTTTCAAACAGTCTGTCCCCTACCAGATGTCCAAAACAGTAAAACCAAGCAGGCAGCAAGCCTTGTGTATCGGACACACAACCTATTTAGTGATGATAAAAAGTTAAAGAAATCCGAAAAGGAAACCCCTAATTTTGCAGAATTGGACACATGCAACGCAATCGAGAAGACCAGGTGAGCGCGGAAACACCGATGCGATATTGAGGCAGTAATACACTCTGAGATTCCCACAACAGAAATATTATCACGCTACTGTTTCCGTTGCGAAATGCGAAATGAAGCCATTGAAAGTACAGAGTTTATGCGCACATGCTTGCCTATAACGCGACGTCTGTGACATATCGGAGTGTCATGGGCGCCACAATCTTCCTAATCCTAACTATTCCCTTAAATTCGCAAGATGGTAATGCAACAGGCATTAAGTCAAGTTTCATAAGAATATTTCTTAATTATTTACTAGAAGGGCAGAACTTTGGTGTTAAGAGGCCCTGAAGGATTCTAAGGGTTGTGTAAATCCTCTCCATAAGATCATACTACCCAACCTCGTCCAATTTGCACCAGAAATATAAGTGCTTTTGACGACAGCGATATAAACATTAGACATAATAATATAGACCCATAATCTGAGAAGGGAGACTGCAATTGCTATCAAGTCTTCATCGTTTAATTACCTTACACGCATGTATATTCAAATATTCCTATTCCAGCCCCTCTGACGATAACCTCCCCACTCAAATCCACGGGCATGTCCTTTCCTCTCCTCTTCCAGATTTCCCCTATCTTTATTTCTTTCACCGCTTCATAAAGGCGAACCGTAACCTTCGTGTGATCTTAGGCTGGTTTGTTATCTTATTATGTGTGACCAAAATGGGCTCAACTTTGTTATCAATGGCGACGTTCATATTCGCAAGCCATACATAGGGAAGACATGCATTCATGTCAAACAGGGAACGCTTGGAAAACGCTTGCGCAGCCGCAAATGAATTGTTTTAGGCTTTCTTGAAGAAATAGTAGGACCGCCAAGCTCATGAGTCTGAACAAGATGTCGAGATGATCAACAAGCACATCAACATTGATAGTTTCCCTGATCCGGTGACATATGGCTCGAGTCAAGGCCTTCGAGCGCGAGTTTGATGCTTAGGCCAGGAGAGATGAGCCGATGAAATGGGAGAACCGGGCTGTCACCAAGTGTAAGATTCGAAATATAGTGCAAGGTGGCTGAGCATATCGTATTTACCGATGTACCCAATGACTCCCACGCTGGCCACACCAGTCGGACACATAGGATTGCCCTAGTAACGAGCCGCCTAGTGGTATTAAACCTTCTGCTCAATGACAAAAACTCATTTGTCATATAGGAAGTAGGGGAGGTTTTCAATGAGTTAGCTTGGCGCTTTACAAGCTGTTTGGGTGATATTACGACGGGGGCCTTGCATTCCGTAAATGGTGTTGCGACACATGCAATAGAGTCCGCCGAGTCATGCATACTAGAACTCCCATCCAACCTTGATCTGCATTACAAGCACAAAGTTTGCGAGAAGCATGAATATAACGGAGAAACTGCGAACTCAGAATCTACCACGACTGTTCCTCCCAAGGGTATAGCGGCGACTAATGCCCCGTACTGACTCCAGTGTGAGCAGTGCGGCCAGGAGTACTAAACATTCGACTGCACACGGCTTTTAGCGACTAATGTGTTCAAGATGAAGAGATCCTTTTCATGACTACGTGGCGGAAACATAAAAAGCGATGGATACACATATGCACATACTCTTATAGTTTTATATATGGTGATGTGCTCCGCTTGATGTGTCAAAGAAGCCGTTGTGTTACTCTTACTGAAGAGCTTCAACTCTGCCTCTGCGTGCATCTAGCAGTGAAGTAGATATGTGACCCATGTATAGATCACACCAGTCTCTACTAGGATTTGCTCTACCTAAACGTGTAGACGAGGACTGCCACTGATTTAGGGCAAGTTTATAGCAACTGAGTGTATTGAGGTGCCAGGGATGCAGCCGATATGTGATAAAGAGAGACCCCGAGTGCGCTCTGACGGGCATATCTGTCCAAACTACCAGAACAAGTTCCAACGCGAACCTGTCGGAAAAGAGGAGGAGTGCTCGATCGAATAGAGAAAGCTCATCGTATTAGATCCATGCAAAGGCTTGCAGACTCTCGGAGAAATTAACCTAGATAAGAGTGACAGGAACCAACTCAACATTGTTGCATTCTTACTCTTACCGCTTTGCAATCTGATGCATACATTACAGGGATTGGGTGAAGGATGAAGGTGTCACCAACATTGGTTTTACTGGTGATGTTGGTAATGAGTTGCCGACGAAGGTACACTCTGGTGCGGATCCGCGACTTATATGACGGAAAACATAATTTATCCTAAAACTGTCATAATAAGAACTCTCTAAAGTAACTGATAGTCACCCCTGAATTCATCATGATTTTAGTCAATGTTCATTGACGAGGATAAGAGAGGCTTAGGAAGCCACTGAGTGCCGACGTCCGCAACTCACCGAGATCTCTCTGCTGCTACAACGAATACTCGGCCGAATAAACCTAGCACTGACGGACGAACAACCTTTTGGCATGTGAAAAGGGTCCGATTCAAAGAATGAGTTTGTAATCAGGGACAACGCCGCGGAAGATAAGTATGGATACTGCAAAGCTCCAACGGCTCAGGTGGAGGGTTCTCCATTCAACATTGACTTTGATATTATTAAATGATAACGTTGCCCTGTGCTTATGTGCATTGCCATTGGTAGCGTTAGCCAACGTTCCGCGGCGGCCTTGGCAAGCCGTTTGCTCGCTGTGATTACCAATACAAAACATCCATCAATGCTCTCATTTCACAATATTAAGTCGCTATTGAGCAAATTACTGTGACTCTTACGGCGTAAACAGTTCCACTTTATTGTATTACTGAGATATCCGAAAGGACCGGGAACAACTCTTATACGTGTTCAACGAACGGTTCAGGTACCCAGCGTTCAGGCGTATGCTGCATACGAGAGATGGAATTTTGAGTTTATTAAGGCGCTAAAATCCGATAGATTACGCTGTAATGTCCGGCCGGTGGAAAGGATCTGCAGCTTGGCATGAATCTGTTAAAGTAAAATATATGGGGCCTTATCTCAGATCCCGAGTCAGCAACTCCATAAACTCCATAACGTTAGGCACAAAGATTCGGAAACAAGAGCTAAACTCCATTCTCAGCAATCTGCAAAGCACCCACACGCTAACGAAGCTCTGGAGAAAGTGACAGAAAAGAATGGCTGACAACATTGCCTATTGTGGGTAGTATCTGAGCAAGTTATTTTGGGACTTCTTCGTCTAAATCCCTTCCATCTCCCTTAGCGTACTGGAGGCACCTTTACGTCACTACGGAGGGAAAAAAATTGTGCATAAGTAGGGGCCATTATAAATACACTTATTTTCAGGGTTGATGCGTTGGGAAATCATCATTGCGTGCTACTAAAGCTCCTGTCTCTCCTGCAGCTGTCCGTAGTAAAGCTTATCTTTACCAGTCTTTCCCCTTTCATCACCAAACACTTGATAGGACAGAGCTGCAGATAACTACTACGTTACCTACATATATCAGCGGTGCCGCTCACCTGCTGCACGCCATAGTCTTTCTCTTAATACTTCCAACAAACACAACACTTTATATCTTCCTTAATATTGTATCATCGCCGTCAACATGTTGGGAAACACAGTAGACGGCGATGCTCTTCGCCGCACACAATCTTCAATGTGGCAGCAGCAACAACAACCAATTTCTCAACAAACTGTGGAAGGCGGACAACATAACCTTACAAGCAGCAGCTCATCCGATACAAGTGTTATACAAGAAGGAAAATGGGGTGAGCGTGGACAAGAAGATGTCACTGCTCAAGAGGCTATGCAAGAATTTGAGTCCCTACGGCACAACTTGATGAGCCTACACAAGACAAGAACCGCGGACACACATGTCAGCAAGGCCCAAAGTAGGCAGACAAGCACTGCTCGAGTTCCTTCAGGAAAACGGGGCCACGACGACGATGATGGTTCGAAGACCGATGTGGAAGCTGGCCCCGAAGAGAGCGAGGGTTTCGAGCTCGGCCGCTTTATGCGAGAAGGCCATTTCGAAAAACGTTCCGAGGAAGGATCTCTGAAGCGAGTTGGAGTTGTGTACGAGAACCTCACTGTCAAAGGTGTTGGAAGCACAACGACCTTTGTTCGAACTGTCCCTGATG